AGCTGCAGTGCCATCAATCCTAATACCGCAGTGATGAAATGGCCGGGCGTCGGGGGGAGGGGAGTTTCATAAGTCACTTTCGTAACATATCATGATAAAAAAGGCATCGATCAGGGCGTGCGGAATGATGACGGATGCCGTCGCTCTGGAGAAGACAGAGAGGGCGAGAGATGATGTTGTGTTTAAGGGCTTTTAAAGCTGAACGAGTTTGAAATGAGATCTGGATATGAATCCATCATATGGCAGAGATGAATATTTAATTTTGTGGTTGACAGTGAGTTTAGGTTTTAAGCTATTGCTCTTTATTAAACCACACACTCAAGCACAGGAACACACACACCAACAGTTGTACAACAAAACACACCACATAAACTAATGGTTCTCAACTGGTTTTAATTCATTGTTACCAGATTTTACATTGGAAATTAATTTTGGACATGGTGCCATAAACTGTTTATCATATAAAAATACAAATATATATTTTTTTAAAAGTCCTTAAAATCAATCAATCAAACTCTGTAGGCCTAACAATATGCAAAAAAGTGAACATTAGCCTGGATAGGTTTTCTAACAAAACACACAAACACTGGGCCAAATATTGTTATTTTAAATATTGTTTATTTTATATTTATTATTTAATATATACACTACTGGTAAAAAGTTTGTGGCCAGTAAGATGTTTTGTTTTGCAAAAAATTTATACTTTAATTTAGCATGGATGCATTAAATTAATCAAAAACAACTAATTTTTTTTCTTACAAAAATATTAAAGATATGTAGAAAAATAAGGAATATTTCTTCAGCAGCAAATCAGAATATTGATTTCTGAAGGATTGTGTGACACTTAAGACTGGAGCAACGATGCAGAAAATTCAGCTTTACCATCACAGGAATAAATTACATTTTAAAATAAAACTTCAACTAAAAAGCAGTTGTTTTAAATTGTAATAATATTTCACAGTATTACTGTTTTTACTGTATTTTTGTTCGAATAAATGCAGCCTTGGTGAGCAGGAGACTTCTTTCAAAAACATTAATTGTACAGACAAAGGTAAACCTACTTGTTTGTTTTGCTTATATACGTAATTATGTTGTTGTTTTTTTTAGTATTTTTATATTATTTAATTTTTCATTATTTGTTTTTCTCCTGCAGAACAGACCTCTAACACATTTTTTGGGGTCCACCGTCTTTTTTTCAGCTCTGTCCATGTGTTTCCCTGAAGCACTGATCCTTAATCAGATTTTTATACCCAAATCCTGATCTCAACTATCACACAGCTGATTTGAAACCAATAGTTTCCGACACCTCCCCCTTCCTCGCCCGTTCCTCATTATACAGGCAGTCAGGCAGGCCGAGGCTATCACACTGAAAGCCACTATCTCTGTGGCCCAGCTGTGGGCTCTATCTCACTATCGCTTTGGGCTGAACCCAGCCATAGACAACCAGGAGATTCACATAGCACTCAGGAAATTAGTCCACTATCTAGATAGGCAGCATATTGTCTTGCCAGGACTGTGTGTGTGTGTGTGTGTGTCAGAACATTACCCATCCAGCATAGCTGATTACAGAAAACAAGGTGTAGCTTCTTTGAAACTAACATTAATTAATTTAAAAACAAAAATTATATAATTGAGTCGAAAACATGTTGTAAGGCTGTAGGTTTTTTCTCTTATTGTGCAATTTAAATACAAATGCTGTTGTTTTGATTTTGACTATGAATGACTGAATAAGTTTTGTAATAATTTATCCAAAACTAATGTGTATCACTGATCGAATTTACAAAACCATTCTTTCCTGTGCCATGGACTGCACAGCAGTTGATTTATATCATGCAAAGAGCCTCGTTGGAGGAAGAAAACCATCATCATTGTCCTGTTAATAAGCTTGTGACTATGTTCAGATCTGCTCTCCATCTCTCCGGAGACCCACAGCAAGCCTTAAATTAGCACAATAACACCGAAACACGCAAACAAACAAAAGGCTTACAGCACAGAGCTTCCAAAAACAAAACAAAAAAAATGAAAGTAAGGCTTGAGGTTCTGGAGCATGTTGTGTGTTGCATGGATAATTTGTAGGTTAATTTGATAGGAAGCTTATTTATCTGGGTTAATCTGTGGTGTGGTTTATTGTAGAACACCAAACATGAGAATACCAACAAAGAACAGGCTGTTTTCTGTGTTTAGACATTTGTGTGTTTAGTTTCTCTCAGCACTTCGGGGAATTGTTAAAAGCTTTAGCTCACAAACACACACGAGTGGAAGTTATCTTTTAGTAGAAATGAAATCTAAATGGAAAACTACCTTGTTTCACACTGCAGTGGTGAAAACATTCCAGGCATTGGAACCCATTTTCTTGTTTATTATTTCCAAAAAACATATTAATTCTTTCTCAGAATATCTATTAATACATTGCACAGCATAAATGAGTACACCCCCTCTGAATAAATATAAAAGATGTATTTTCTTAATGATCGCTAATATAATTAATAAAATTCATGGAAAGATGGCAAAAGTGAAACGTATAAAAACAACAAAATATATGCCAATATTTTCTGTAAAATAAGTAAATTAGCCAATTTTGTTTAAATGAAGGATTGCAGAAATGAGTACACCCTAGATTTAATTCAGAAAATGTATAATATTCTAGTACTTAGTATGTCCTCCAGAACTTAAAGTATACTGATCTGACCCTTCTTGGCACTGAGTGTACAAGTTCATGACAAATTTTCACATCTGTGCTGTTTAACTCCTGGAGGACGACCTCCTTAAATGCTCTGATCTTTAATGGGGGAGTTTTGCTTAGCTCGTCTCTACAGAATCCCCCACAGCTGCTCAAGAGCGTTAAAATTGAGTGAAATACATGTCCACTGAAGGATTTTCACTTTGGGAGAATGAATATATTCATTGTCATGCTGAAAAAATGCCAAGTAATGCAGGGAATGAGGAGAGGGTAGCATCTTCTGTTTCTAGTTTTTGTATTACATCACACAGTGGTGTGTGAATTCATGCCAGCGTTGATAAAGCACAACTCCCTCACACCTTCAGCACTCATTCATCCCTATATAAAAGCTTTTCTACCACTGAACGTCACTATGGGTACCAAGCACTTCTCACTGTACTCCTCCTCTAGCAACAACAGAACATTTTAGATGCTTTTGGATCCGAAATGATTGACTTGGTCTCTTGAGACCAGAGTATGGATTCCCAGAAGTCTCTCTTTTGTAAATATGGGCTCTGGAAGAGGTTAAATGAGTTTATTGTGCTTTGGCTACAGTAGGTAATTCTAGTGGTGACAACAACCATGCGTGTCAGTTCTGCAGGCTGCGTCATACTCTGTGAGATAAAGTGTCACTCTTTTCACAGCTTTTGCCGGCTCTGAGACACTTGCATGTTATTTCTCCGACTCTTTTTCTAGCAAAAATCCACTCATTACTAAATGAAAACTTAAAGTAAAGACCTGATTATTTCAGGAGCCTTATCACAAGTCCATAGTTTTTGAATGTTGGTGCTACTTCTGCTATATTTTCACACTTAAAACAATAATTTGGTATTCCTCTTGTACCATTGTCCTCTTTTATGCTAAGAAATAAGTCACCTGGCAGTTCTCTCTCAAATGATTCCACTGCTGTCAGCATTAAGTCTGAGTATGATTCAGTGGGCTATGTAACACTTTTAATTGTCAGGAAATTACTTGTCTTTAAAAGTTTTGGTTCAATATACTTACCTGTTTATCAAAAATAGCCTTAAACCTATACACTTTTTTTTTTAGTTTTATTTAGTAACTTTCCGGAGCGTGTACTCATTTTTGCAACACAAAATTTTATCAATTTGATAAGAAAATCTTATTTTGCTTAATAATTTTGGCATTCTTCTTTGGTAATTGATCAAGCAGGCTTGTTGGAACATTACATCTCCAAAGAACCCTAACATGTCTTTAGAGGGGGTGTACTCATTTATGCTGTGCACTGTATATGTATCTTACATGACTGTTTTCCATTAGCTTCTTTAATCTAATAAATAGATGGATTTTCTTCAAAATAGAGGTCTGACGTAAAATGTTCAAACTGAGTTTAATGTCACATCATGTCCATGACATCACATTTTGTCTGCAGTGTCACTGCCTTTAAGTGTAAAGACCCATTCACAACAAGAACGATAATTATAAAAGTAACTATATTAGCGTCCACACCAATGCACAAAAATGCTCAGTTTCTTCTAGGCATGGTTGTATTCTGATTAGCTGTCTATGTGTTTATCATTCATCAGCTGGGGAAAAAAATAGATTTGAGAGTGATTCCAACTATATCATTCTTCTGTGTCATTACTGTTATAGCTGTGGTGTGGAAGTCACTATTCTCAAAGGATTAGAATGATTATTAAAACTTTATTGTTATCATTATAGTTAATGTCTTTGGTGTTAACAGGTCTTAAAGGTATAGTTCACCCAAAAATGAAAATTCTGTCATTAATTACTCTTCCTCATGTCATTCCAACCCCGTAAGACATTCATTCATCTTCAGAACACAAAGATATTTTTGATGGAATCTGAGAGCTTGCTGACCCTGCGGAGACAGCAGAGTATTTTCGTAGTTTCATAAAATTGAGGTTGAACCACTGATTTCACATGGACTATTTTAACAATGTCCTTACCACTAGAGGTCTGCAAGCCCGTCGGGTTCCGACGGGGCCCGACATGCTGAGTCCATTCGGGCCGGGCTCGGGCCCTTTTTTTTTTTACAGATCGGGCTCGGGTCGGACTCGGGCTCATTTAGCTTCTCTCCTTTTATTGTGCCATATATGCGCAGAGCACACATAGGCTACTGTATGAAATATTGTTATATTGATTATATTATAAATATTATACGTCGCCTACGCATTAGCATATAGGTGACAGTTGACCATGCACAGGATCAGGGAGAAGTTGGAGCGTGGGGAGTTACTAAAAGTTCCCAATGCTTCGGAAAAGCTGTATTTTGGAAGAGTCTTAATTTGATTACCACGGCAAACAGTGAGTCAATTGGTCATGTGCAGTACAGAATCTGCAAACATATCCTTGCACATGACAGCAAAAAACGCACGCTAAAGCGTGCCGTAAAGCCCCAACAAAAGTAATTACCATGAATGTGTCGGGGGAGAAATAATTAGATATTTGAATTATTTATTAATAAATTAGTGTTTTCTGAGTCCGTGTCGCAAAGATGAAGATGACGATCCTGATCCTGAGAAATGCATCTTTACAGATTGTATGAAATTTTAAAATTAGTAATTTAAAGTTAAAATATATATATATTTAGCAAGTTTTTGAGGCAAGTATTTGCTGAGTTTCGGTTCATCATTGTGAAGCGCTCCTGGCCGAAATTGCAGACATCCTTTATTTTATATAAGCACAACGCTTTGTTGATATTGTGAGTGCACACAAATAAAAGTAGACCCTTTACAGTTCCAAGTGATGTATTACTCTTATCTTTATGAGCAATAATTACGGCATATTTTAAGTTGTTTCCAATGCAAGTGATCGCGCCGGCTCCTGTAAAGCGCTTTAGCTCTCCGCACAAACGATTAGATATGCGTCTAATAGTGCACATTTATATAGGTAAAACATTTAAACTAACATTGTAATATGCTTGAACTGTTCTATATCTATAGATTTTATTTTAGGCAAGTCGTGATTATTTGATAAGGCTAAATTTTTCAAACATAGGCTATGATCAACTCACTGTCTGCTGCTGGCCGCTTGGTCGTTACTTTAAAAAAACAAAAACTTACATTTAACAAACAAAAAAATGCTCCAAAAGTTTTTCTAAAGTAACTTAATAAAAAAAACGAAACGAAATATAATCACTTTGACATTACATACAAAACTGAACAATTTTAATAGCTGAAACAGTAGTATAAGCTGTTTTGGGAGAAGGGGGAAAAAAAGATGGGGTCGGACTCGGGCCAAGAATTCTGATGAGCTGTCGGACCCGGGCCGGACCAGGGCCTGAGCGTCTCGGGCCAGGGCCGGGCTAGGGCCTATATTTGAGGCCCGTGCAGGGCTCTACTTACTACCTTTCTAGGCCTTGAACTTGGTAGTTACAGTGTTGTCTATGCAGGGTCAGAAAGCTCTCGGATTTCATAAAAAATATCTTAAATTGTGTTCCGAAGATGAACGAAGGTATTACAGGTTCAGAACGACATGAGGGGAGTAATTAATGAGAGAATTTTCATTTTTGGGTGAACTATCCCTTTAAGACATCTTAAATACGTAACCTATCAGTATCTGTGCTAATACTGTAGCATCTATGTTTCAAACCTGTTTAATTGTATTCGATGACAGTACTTTCCTCCCTTCGGGTCCCTTTTTCCTACGTTCGTCTGCTACCATCGCCCCCAGAGGTGCTTTTGCTAAAAGCCGTCGGTTGTTAGTGACAATCAGAAGCCACCTGACTTTCTCTCTCTCCCTTTCTGCCTGTCTCCGAACAGCCGGTTTGATTTCATCTGCATCCCGTCGTTTATTATTCCGTCCCAGCGCTGGGCCGAACTCCTCGGAGAGGCCGCGGCCTGATCAAACGCTCTCTCCCAGGAGTTCCTTTTCCCTCTCTCCCCATCGCTCTCCTCCGTTATGTCTAAATCCTCCATACAAATCGCTGTATTTCTGCTCTCCCAGTGGGGCCTATTACTGCCTGTGGGGCATTAAAGATCATTAATAGTTCTGTCAGAATGAAAGAGGGAGAACGAGAGAAGAGAGATAGAGGGAGAGGTGGAGGAGAGTTGCTTAGCTGCTCATAAATGGGAAATTAATACATCTGCCTCATTAATGCTGCCTGGTTTTTGATGTTTGTTAGCTGGCAACTTTAATGATGTAGGTCTGAGCCAACAGGGTGCTTGACTAAATTTGATTCCTCCAATTAAGTAGTCAGAGTTCTTTTCTTTCGGGAGGAAAAAAGAGAGAGAGGCACAGAGGGTGAAGAAAGAAAATTGGACTCCCCCAACCTTCAGTCTTTATTTCTCTCTTGCTCTTTTTAGCACCTCCGAGCTGTTTTTTTTTTCTTCCTGTCGCAGCTTGATTGCAGCGCCACGTTCATCAACCTTGGTCTTCAGGAAGTTGTTTACCTTTGGCAAATCAAGGGGAAATATTTTAATCAGCATCTGCCTCTGTCTTAATCACTAACATTAGCAAGCCATGTATGTTAATTGCCGTATAGAGGAAGGTGATCGTCGTCGGTCTCGAGTGCAAATGATGGAATCTAACACCCTGACATGAGCGAACAAGCTGAAGGCATCAGCCGGAAGAATGAGGCATGTAAAGGACATGGGGCTTTGTCTCCAATGTCATTTTTGTGTAATGTGTGTTGTCTAGAGAAACAAGCTTGATGACACTAATTAAGTACGTTTCACGCATGTAGTCGATGGAATTTTCTTTAGAGCTGAAGTACAGCTAAGGCCTTAAAAATACAAACGTTTCAAGCTACAAAATCTTGATTTGTAATCCTACAACCCAAAACAAAAATAACATCGGTGGTTAACCCTCCTGTTGTGTTCAGGTCAATTTGACATGCATTAAGTTTTGAAAATGTATAGTCTGTTTTGGTTGTTCTTTGGAGGTCATGTTGCAGTTTGCTCTGGCAGTTATCGTACATGATAACGACTAAACATTGTTGGTTTTGCCTGCTGAGGGCCGATCTACAGGGCCTTCACTTTAACTTCCAGTACGTGTGGAGCTGCAGACAGGCATTATGGGAGAAGGCTGAAACAGAATTCTAAATCAGCTTAGCCTGCTAGCACTCAAAAAGATCATTCATCTTCAAAAGAGTGTGATTCATGCCTGCAAGGCCCACCGCTTCATCTTTCACCTCCACTTTCCTTTCTCTCTCCCTTTCTTTCTGTCTCTCTCTTATTTAAAACGGCCCCTTGACAAGCTGAATGAAGGAGAATGAATGAGCAGATGCATTGTTAATGTACTGGTCGTGTTGAGATTTGAGGCAGTGCCGCTTTACGTTTGCAAGTTTTACCTCCGACATGGAAGGAATTGTGTTGGATACAGTAGGTGTGTAGCCAAAATCAGTAATGCTGCATTTATTTGATGAAAAATACAGTAAAAGAAGTAGTATTGTTAATACGTTTTCTATTTGAATATATTTTAAAGTGTAATTTAATCCTGTGATGCCACAGCTGAATATATATATATATATATTACTATATATAGGTATATACTGTATATACACTTTATATATATATATATATATATATATATATATATATATATATATATATATATATATATATATATATATATATATATGGTGTCACAGTGTCACACGAGGTTGTCATCCTACAAATAAATGCCTTTATAGTTGTTGTCAATAAACATTCAGTTCTGGGTGTCAGCTGTGCATGTCATTGTATTGCTTGTGTCTCAGCTGGTAGAATAAAGAAAGAGATTGAGCGAGACGAGATGGAGGTGACAGACAGGAGGACAGGAAGCTGTACTCGTGGAGGTCTTTCTGAGCGTCAGTCCTCGCTGGGCATTAATAATGCATCTCTGCAATTGTCACTGCTGTTAAGCTGCATAAAGTGACTTGTTGGAAAGAAAGCACAGTTGAATGAATGAGATATACTGACATAACCCTGACGCTAGCATATCATGGGGCATATGCTCTTGCATTTAGAAACAAGAATAAGGAGTTTTTCATCAAGATCAGTAGTCCATATTTTCGTAAGAAGCTCACATTTTAACAACAGTTTGCCTTTTTTTATATTTATAAACTACCTTTCAAACGTTTCAGTAAGACGTCTTTAAAATATATATATATATATTTATATTTTATATATTATTCAGCAAGGATGCATTAAATTGATTGAAATCTTCAGAAAAGACATTTGTAATCTTGGAAAAAAATTCCATTTCAGATAAATGTTGTTCTATTAAAGTTTCTATTAAAAAAAATATAAGAAAAATGTATACAAATAAAACAAAGTATACAGTTTTCACAACATTTTTAAGTAGCACGACTGTTTTTAACATTGATAATGATATGAAATGTTTCTTGTGCAGCAAATCAGCATATTAGAATGATTTCTGAAGGGCCACGTGACTCTGAAGACTGGAGTAATGATGCTGAAAATTCAGCTTTGCCATCACAGGAATAAATTGCATTTTAAAATATGGTAAAATAGAAAACAGATATTTCAAATTGTAATGGTTATTATTTGTTCACATTATTGCAGTTTTTATTGTATTTTGATCAAATAAATGCTGACTTGGTGAGCAGAAGATACTTCTTTCAACAACATTTAAAAAGTCTTACTGACCTACAGATTTGCAAAATTAGCATATTTTCTTGCAAATCATACAGCATTTATGAAATGTTTATACCAAAGCTGAATCTCTGAGGCAGTTATGAAAGAGGATTTAGCACACATTATATGGTTTTTGCTAAGAGAAAGCTGTCGTGCTGTGCTGCATTTCTGGCTCCTTCTGCCACAGAGTAATCTACAGCACCATTACAGGCAAATGATTAGCCACAAACACCCAATTAGAGTGTAAATGTTTTAAAGGGGTGACAGGTTGATCAGTGATAATGTTGGCCGTGTGGCTGAACTAGCAGAAATAAATCACAGTGCACTTACTGGGGCAGCCCATGTGAAATGTTTTAGTTATGCTAATGAGAATTGTCATAATTCAAAGTGAGCGAAATCCTAGCTGAGCTTGCATTTAATTTAGACACACACGCAGGAGTAGAAACATCAAATGAGTTGCCTGGTATTCTGTGTTATTTTTGTTTTTCAGTAGTATTACAGGCCTCAAGCAATGTTCTCATTTGCCCCAAACCATGTTTTGTACATTTTTCTTCTGATTTCTCTCTTTTTTTTGCCTGGCTGAATTTGTGAATTAGGATCAGCATGTGTATAAAAAGCTCAGCAGAACTACGTTTTTATTTGTTTACCAGTTGAGCGGCCGATGGCGACCGTCGACAACTCTTCATCCTTCTTAAAACTCCTGTCACCTTTGTCTGGTTCCTCTTCTTCTCTTTGTTGTTCTCTGTTCTCTTGCTCGCTCTCTCCCAAACAGCACTCGCCGCCATCTGGC